AGGTGTGTAGACTGTTACCGACTTTGATCACTGAATGGCGATTGCTAGAGAAAATGTGTTTCTCGATTAAAAAGAATCATGGTCACTTGGGAACTCTCCCCCAGGCCCTGCTCATGTCCTATGTATGGTCCATTGGCCGAGGCTGGGCGGTGGTCCCTCGGAAGTAAAAATTAGATCTCGTTGTACGCAGGACGAAAGTCGCTTTTGATGAAAGAACTAAAGGTGGTGATGAAAAAATTACAGGTACTGGTAGAATCACGGGTGATGAGAATGACGAACACTTCTCAGTTCAACCGAGAATAAATCTGAGCTTCGATCTCAAGTCAAGAGTTGAAAACTGGAGCTGTACAGAGCAATTATCTAGACTGTACAGAGATGGTGCCAGTACATTCTCAACTCAGATTGACCGCAAGAGGCTCAGATTTCAACATTTTTTCAGCGTTAGAATAAATTCTAACAGGGGAAATCGAGTACTTTCGAATGATCTATTAGATAGGAATTTGGGTTCAAAATTAATATGAAAGGTCAACTAGGTCACGCCAAAGGTCAACTGAAAAAAAGAGTTTGCATATCTGCAAAAAAAATTACGAATCGAATGAGCTATCGATGATGAAAGTCGGTTGAGACACCTGGAAGGAGTTCACTGGACCATTTCCGGTCATACAGACATCTGCAGGTCGTTGCGTATGTAGATGGCGGGGGGGGGGGAGTTGGGAGCGGTTGGGAGTCTCTTCGCACAGGGCTCCGAAATAACGAGCGGTTCTGGTCACCGGTAAACGGTGGCAAGGGTGGGCACCTGCCCAAGGGCACCACCTAAGGAAGGAGTGCCGGGAAGAGGGAGGGGGAGAGGGCGAAGCGAAAGAAAACCGAAGAAGACAAAGTAAAAGGAATAAAAAAAGACTCTGAAAAAAAAGAAGACAGAATGCAGACGTTTCGGTAAATACACATGAATGGGCAAGGGCGGACTGGCCATCTGGCAGCTCTGGAAAATGCCAGAAGGGCCGGCGGGGCGGTCTTCTCAAGGGCCGACGGGCCAGTTCTCATGTACCCTATTAGTCTTATGCAACGAAATTTGCAAGAGAACATGAAGTATATTGGGAATAGGCCCAACTGTGAAACAATACATTATCAGGCCTTTCCAGTAGGCATACCTACATTTCCAGTGAAATCTCCGCATTGATAGGGCTATTCCCAGTCGGGCTGGCGATGTGCCCCTGACCCGGGGCTATTGCTAGTTCTGCGTAGTATAATTCATTCCCTGCTTTAGAAAAAAAAAAGAAGAAATTTCTGCTTAACAAAAGAAATGATGGATGAAGTCGGTGAAGAGAGCAACAGAGGAAGATGGGAGGATTAAACAAGGGGCTATAAGTAGGACTTCATCAGATAGGGCAAAGGAAATGGAATGGCAGGTAAGGGTTGTCAGGCGGGTCAAGTTGAGCTCGGATTACCCCCTGGTTTTGATATCTTTTGGATCCGCATGTATCTCTTCCTTGTCAACCATGTGGCACAACATCGTTTCCATGCATTCCTGCTTGCTTGAGATACCTCACGATCATTCCTCCTTACTTTTGCCATGAATTGTTGCATTGCAATGATAATATATAAGGAAATGGCAAGTTCTGCATATATATTTATGACGACCCTGTACTTCCACGATTGTCTCTTCCCTCCCCCCCCCCCCCCCCCCCGCCATCTACATACGCAACGACAGTAGAAGGATAAGCCTATCTCACTCAACGTTAGAGGAACGCCTGACTTTGACGGGGGACGTCTTAATGAAATAAAATACTTCTAGACGTAGCCACACACACACACACGCGCACGCGCACACATTTTGATCGGGATGGGCTTCCACTTTCTGAAGTGAAACTGGGGGTGGCATCCATTATGGTTTCATTCAACCAGTTATGTTTTGGCTTCCCTGGTGGATTTATGCTCTGTGCAGGGGTGCATGGTACACGCCTTAGGCCGGCTCTGCTTATGGCCCTGCATGCACTACAGTCAATCCCCGTAGAGATGTCGCTGGTGCATATACATCAAGCAATATCTCCAATCACACTCGCATTCACACAACGCTCTCTACTTAATTTTTTGGATGTAATATAAATATGTGATTTCTGAATTTTGCAACACTCGGTATATTGCATCAGATGTTTGCAGAAGCGAAAGGCATACATGTTTGGAATTTATAAAATGTGTTCAGTACTTATCATTTGAATCAGGCATTCAAGTCACTACACTATGCTTAGAACTACGTTTTGGACTAACAATAAAGTGTACATTCCAAGAGAGTCTGACAAGTGACAACTCCCACTACTGAAGCATAGTAATGTTAGCCTAAATGTGTATTAGGAATTAGGTATTTCTAGAATTTCTAAGGTTTGTGTGGCTACGTCTAGAAGTATTTTATTTCATTAAGACGTCCCCCGTCAAAGTCAGGCGTTCCTCTAACGTTGAGTGAGATAGGCTTATCCTTCTACAATATAACTATTTTTGTGGGTGCATATCAACCTACAGGTTGATGATAACGAGGTTGTATGCTAACGTTACCTCGTTACTAACAGCAACATTGCTCCCTTTTTGTTTCTTCCATGCACGTATATGAATACCCTCATGCCACCTTTTGCATTTTTTTTTAGACTGCTACTGAAACATTTCTAGTGCTATTATATCACATTTATTTTCAGGCTTTCAAAAATAAATGGTACACTGAACGCATTAACGGTTCAGATTGCCTTTAGTTTCACTTTATCTTCAGTTAATGGAAATTAATATGTGCATTTCATCAGAGTTCACCATATATTCACTTGACTCAAACACCTATGCATCTGAAATGCCATAGACTGGTGTCAGAGTCATCTGCAAAAGTTTTAACATCAGGCAAAACAAAGTAAGCTTGTCTGGAAGTGCAGGCCTAGTTTGTTTCCAGTTTAGAAAACTTGAGATATCTGCAGGTAAACAGAGACTGAAACATGGAATTAAACTGAATGAATGACATGAAAACATTATATGCTCTTAGCCAAAGAGTGGGCATTTTGTGTTTGTCTGGTAGGTTTCCATTTGTCTCCAATATTATTTTCCAGAGGTGGGTAGTTCTAGGCCTATGCTATTGACAGAATTTCAGCTTGCCTTTGGCATGTTAAAATGAAATAGAAAATGAACTCTTGGAAAATTTTCCCAGAATCTCTACTGCCTTCCTCCCTTTTTCAGTGTCAAGAACTTGACAGGATCTCTGCCCAACTTCAGAAAATCCTGCCATCTTCAGCCATTGTTAAAAAGACTGAAAGACTCAAATAAACAATGCATAGCCATCATAGGCTTTATGTTGTATGCATTGCTCCATCTAGAGTGTGTCCTGTGAAAGCTTTTTACTTCCCAAGCTGGAGGTTAAAAATCAAATACTTCAATTGAATTCATCATCCAGACCACAGTAACAAAAATTTTGTGACAGAAGCTTCCAATCAATCCAGTAATCTGCACTGGTTTTAAGTGGCCAAAACATAAAGATTTTTTTTTTGGGGGGGGGAGACTCATGTCATACATCTCTCTGCTTTGTTAGAGTGAAAAAATTTCTGAAAATAAGTACTGTAAGTACTAAAAAATGCCAAGCAAAGAGAAAGATGTAGAAGTGTAAGGTTTGATCAATGAAGCTGTGTGATTGACTTCATCAGAAGGTGCACAGCTGCTCTAGAGCACAAATGGTGAATCCAACCTGTCTCTGCAGTCAACCTAAATATTCCAGGAAGATTAGAAGCCTTTGGAGCAGGGAGTACCTCTGACTTCATTTCATTCCTGGCAAGTTGAAATACTGAAATAACATTCTGGAAGCACTTCAAGCCTTGGAACAGACCTAAGAAATTTTACTTGAATGGTTTTGCAGAAGTTTACTGACTGAATCTACAAAAGACCAATTAAATGGATTCTTGTAAACCCCATAAGTCTGCATATTTGCAAATCAAGATGAATGAAGAACCACTAATAGTGATATCAACAAAAACTTTAGTTGTATGGCTGGATAATGAAATGAACTGGACAACTGACAACTGTAACATACAATTATGCAATCTTTCTTGAGCTGCTGTCTCCCAATCTGGAGTACAGATGCAAAAACTCACATGAGAACATTAAAAGCCCTACAGAACAATATCATTTGAATCCTGAATTGCTTGCCATATAGGAAAAATATAGTCATGCATTATTCATTCTGGAGAATGCTGCCTGCCTATTAGAAAATAATTTTCTCTCTTTCCTGACTTGTATACCAGGCACTGAAGAGTAATGTATAATACAATCCTGCTGCTGAACAACACACATATTCAATCCAGTATACTCTTAATCACAATTTAACCTCATTTCAAAAAGAAAAAAAAACTTTAATTATTGGTCCATTCTTGTAATATTACTTCAGGAATACAGTTCTATTCCAACAGATATAAAAAGAGCTTGGTCTCTGAATACAGTTTCAAAATTTATTCAAAAGACTACTTGATAACAATAGCAGAGTAAAATCATATAACTAAAGCTATAAACAGTAATTGACATACTCAGGTGATCCAGGTTAGACTTTCTCCTTTTTTTTTCAGGGGCCCATAAACTGATATCCTGCTGGTCTCTTTTTTAATTTCTCTCCATTGTTTTTTTTGGTCTGTATTTTCTTTCCTTTATCTTGGCCTAAGCTTATGCTATTCAAATCCTCTACTCTTTCAGTCAATAATGAAAAAAAGAGTATACATAATCATCAACTTTTCATCAGGTACAAAAACAGTATCACCAAAAGGGGGGGAAAAAAGTAATAAGTCAATCAAAAAATGAGGCTTTGACAAAACAGGAGAAAACAAAGTTCAATATTCTACAGTCATCTGTGATTGGCACAAAAGCCTTATGCTATAAATAGCTTCTAAATGTTATGCTTTGGACTGATAAGAGTTCACCTCATTTTCCATTCCTGTGGTAATTCCCTTGGCCTGCAGTATCAAACCAGGCATGAATGTGGAGCAAGTATGGAGCTTAGTGAGGAAGATACCAATTCAAGGGAGGAACCAGACCTCGAATTAGGCATTGCCATAGACCATCCAAGCTTCAGTCAAATTGAAGAACTAAATCATGAGTCTAGACATCAGCCTGTGGTCAAAAAGGAGGAAGTGAAGCCCATGGGGTCATTGGTGAAACAAAGGGATTTTGGGATTGCCCTTTTTGTTCACTGTCTATTGGAAGAATTCTGTCTTCAAACAGAATCAGATGCAAGCAGACAACTTCTCTTATACTTGGGTATGTTCTTTAAGGCCTACAAAAATTTCATGTGCCAAGTAATATGCCAAGCTACCCAGCTTGGCATATTACTGAACATATTACTGATAGGTCCATGGAGCATACTGAACTTTACCTTTAATTATCTTGCTTCTTTTTCTAATTTTCCAGCTTTGAAGGAGCAGTTCCTGAAGTCTATCAGGATACCCTACTTTCTGGAAATCTTTAGTGATTTATGCTTGGAAACAAGTGCTGTACACTTGGCCTTGTATCAGGAAGCATTCAGAAAACTAATTAAGACTGTGAAGGGTACAGTTGACCAAGAAAATTTATCCATTTCCTTCAACAGTCATTTAGTTGATTTCTCTCCCCTTCCATTGGTCATCAAGTAAGTTTCTTCCTTGGATTATTTTTGTCTTGTATTATATATTTGTATTGTATTGTATATTAATCTCTTGATATGAGACTGTGTATATCTTGGTCATGTCCTCTGTTTTGTAGCAGATATTATGAAGATCAGAGTCTTTTGAGTCAGCAACCTTCAACTGGCCTTGTATTCTCATCATATCGGTACAAGACAGAATTCCAGGAACTTAGTCCTCTTGGATTCGGAGGCTTTGGTCATGTCTTCCGTGCCATTCATCGTCTTGATGGACAGGAGTATGCCATCAAGAAGATCATCTTCTCGTATGTCTGTTCTGTTTGGGATTTACTTGAGATTGGCTTCAAAGCTTTCATTAATGTACTGCACCTAGGTCCACTGGTACTTTATTTGGAGGTTTGCCATGTATCAGTCAATTCAACACAATAGGATCTTTTGATGCAAAATGAGTTTTATGTAATTTTTTAGGAGTATTGGTTGTAGCTTTGGGAAGACTTCTTGTGCAGATGAATTTGATGATTCAATCTCTAGGTTTATTTGGAGACATTTACGCTTCAAGGATTGGAGGCATACAATAGGCACAGGTGTAATAACTAATAATAAAGCCTAGAAGCCCTTCTTCAATTGCTTTTTGTGTTGTAAACTACAAGACCCATCTTGTGATAGGTCTTGAAGTTTCTCTAGACCAGTGGTTCCCAACCTCGGGTCGCGACCCAAATCAGGGTCGCGGGGGTCCTCAGTGGGGTCGCGAAGGGGCATCGGAAGAAAAATTTTTTTTTTTTTTTAATGCTAAAAAGTGCCCGAAAGGCTGAGGCGACCACGCCGACCAACAGTTTTTTTTAAATCTCCTTATCGTAGCTTACGAGTACAAAAGGCAAAAGTGCATTACTTGCATTTTTGTCTCGTTTCAAATTGAAGCCCTTACCTCTGATTTTGCAAAATGGCAAAACGAAGTTTACCGTACAACTCCAATTTTTTAAAGCTGGGCTTCACTGAGTTGAGGGATCGTTCTGGCTTAGTTCGCCCACAGTGTCTGCAATGCATGCAAGTATTGGCAAATGAATTTGAAGGAAAGCAAGCTGAAGCGGCATCTCACCACTGTCCATCCGAATTTCGTCGATAAACCACTGAGTTTCTGGAAAGAGAAAGAGGCGAACGTGAAACGCATGATACTTGATGCTCCGTCAAATTCAGGGACTGTTTCTTTGGAAAAAGTTACGAAGGCATCATTTGAGGTGGCCTGGAAAATTGCACGTTGCAAGAAGCCTCACAATATC